TTTTTTTTTTTTAGCATTTTAAAGGATGCGTCGTGCCTGTGGGCAGGGATACTCAAAATACAATATAATACAACTGCTTGCCGTGCGGTGAAATACATATCGGGTCAAATGAGACCAGAGCAAGGAAATAAATAATTGCAATTGTGGTGAGGCAGACAGTAAATTTTTGCATGCCAAGTGTGCTAGCCTTCTACTTCTCTAGACACGCATCCACTGTCGCCACATCCCAGAAGCCTCCACTAACCTTCAGAAAGAGAATCATTTCGAGAGTCATAGGCGACAACCTGTGTCGCTCGTGTCGAACCACGGCACGAGCGATACTGAAAAAACCTCTCTACTCGATTCGACGTAGGTGGGATAACTGATAGGAGATTGTAGGTCGATGGATTGGCAACAATTTTGCGTCGATTTAGGATTTGATCAGCAAACCCTTCCTTTGCGGTAGAACTCGTCACTTCCGCGGTGCTCAAAGCCTCCGCTGGTACACGGAATGGTTCCAAAGCTCTGGCCTCTTCGTTCGTCAACAAGCCCGCATCGCCTACCAACATCTTGACAACCGCTGCTTCAAACGCAGGCGAGTGCACAATTTCGGCATCAGGCGCTGTCGTCAAAACGCAAGATATTAGTATCTCTCCGTCACAATAGTTTATAGAAAGCACTTACAAAGATAGGTGGTCATTGAGGGCCTCAATTCCAACAGGCCGTCAAACAAATCGCGTGCATCGAGCAGGGTTAACTCATCCCCCTGTAATTTCTTGGAAATCGATTCGATGCACCGCAACTTCGACAAGAGATCCTACAGCTTACGATGAACTGCTCTTGACGGTAGCAGATCCATCATGTCGTCATCGTTAGCAGAAAGGAATTCACGCAGGCGAATGTAGCGTTCAAGCATGGAGAACGTTGAGGACCAGCGTGTATCCTGGCTCAGAATTGGCATCAAGGGTGTCTTCATCCTAATAAAAAAATAGATTCGCACAAATTTAGGTTAATCCAAATCCCAATTATCAAATCACAAATCACAGATTTTGTATACCTCATTTTGCAGCTTGGTTTTGTACGATGCTTCCGCATAAGCTGCTGAACTTGATCAAGCGCAGTTTCAAAAGGAACAAGAAACTCTCGAACAGCGAGACTCAGACGATGCCTTGCGCAGCCAACTAGCGGCACATTCATCAGGTTTGCAAGCCGTTTGTTGACTGCGCAGTTATCACCAACGAGAAACTTGCAGCCGTTAATAGTCTTACCAAAAAATGGCAAGAACCGCACAATTGCTCTCATGCGCTCTTCGGCATTCAAGTGATCGTCAGGCTCGTCCATAACAGGAGCCATAGACAGCAGAGGGTACCGAGGGCCGCCAGGCGAGTCGTAGCATCCGTAAATAGCCAAGAACTGCTCCGTGTCTTGGCTCCAGTCGTCCAGCATCAGGCCAAATTCGTCAGGCATCTCTTCACCGATTGCCTTCTCCACTGCCTTGGTCACGCTTTCAATGCTGGAGACCAGAGTGTTCACAGACACAGGAGTAGTGTACCTACCAAAAATAGTATGACATATTGGTCAGATCAAATTTTGAATAGAAATAAAAGCATGCTCATTGTTAGTACTTACCTTCGTGTCTCCACGGACTCGCAGAATGAGAGCGGCAGATTGTCCATGACGATTCACTTCATCCATGCGTAGCGGTTGGAAGCTTTCTGACTCACCCAGGTCACGAGAGTGCCAGTCGCTGCTGCGGTTGCATTAGCATTTCTCGCTCAAAATGGGGATGTGCCACTCGGACATGCGGCACCAGGTTGGTGTAGTCGCTCCTAGGGCTATGCTTACGCTGCTTTCCGAACGCCTTGCAGACATGATATCCAGTCAGCTCACCTTCTTCATCAAGCCATGGCTTGAAGAAGAAGGCAGCGATCTGCCTGGGGGTGAAGGGTGGGGTTGTGTGGATGTGGTAACGACTTCAGTGAGCTTTTGAAAATGAATTTGCCAGCCAACGTGTAGCGTGTGTGCGCACTATGGCTCACATCCAACAATTTTGTTGGTAGTGAGAGCTTGGAAATAAAGTATCACCAGATTTGTTACTGTGACATAAATAACTGACCTGGACCAAAAATGATCACAAATAAATCATTTTTCCGACCAATAAAAATGAACCTTTTCCGGTATTTATCTTTGAGCATCCCTGTCTGTGGGCTGTCGCGACAATTGCAGCCTTTGGACGTTTAGAGATGCTAAAGTATATGCTGGAACAGGATGAAGGGAATCAAAGCTCGGGCTATACGACCAGAATAGTCGTTGATTATGTCAGTAACCCAATGGGTAACCCAGAGGGAATAGACGTTGAGTGGGGTGCGTACTCCATGGGGAGTGCTGCGACTGAACTTTGACATCGTCCGCTGGATGTTCGACAACGGGGTTTACTCAGACAACAGCAGCAACATGAAGGTCGTTATTGACGGTTTACTCAACGAAGATTTGGCTAGAGTTGGAAACTCAACAGCATAGGCTTTAACTAACTGTTAGGGTTTTGCTCGTGGGTTCTGAGATAGCCTCCGACAGTGTTGGCATCAGCTTTTGTCACAACGTACTACTAAAAAGTGAATATTAGAAGTGCTTGGCAATAGTACTGTAACGAGTGTCATCAATGTTGTATAATAGTAATCTACATCTAAAGTTTATAAGAGTACTTTAGTTCTGTAGACACTTGTATTATATTGAAAAAAAA